AGTATTTTTTAAATTTTCCAGAAAGTATTTTTAATATCTGGGATATGTTTAGCATTTGCTTTATGTGGTACAATTAAGTTTGTTTACTGTGATGGTTGTTTACATACTTAATTGTTGTCATTTAAAATATTATAAACTGAAACTTCATCTTAGCTTACTCACCACAAAAATGTACATTATTCTAATTAAGTCTCTCTTCATATTCTGTTTTGTAACAGACTTCATTAAATCCAATGGACAGAAGCTGCCTTGAAGGCTGTCGGTACTTAGTAATAGAAATACAAAATTGCCATGGAAATGAACAGAAGGGCTTTGAAGATTTTCTACACTTACTGTCAATGTAGTTTTGTATGCGTAGACATGGTAATCACAAAATTGTTTTTTGTTTCTTCCTTGAAAGGACTCAATATGAAAAAGTTGTGTTTGTATTTCTTTAGGAAAATATATAGTATATATTTTGTACTTTGTTATTTCTCCCTACAGTATTTGTTTTAGTGGATAAAAATCTGTGATTGATACAAGCTTCTTTTCCACAGAATGTAATAAAAAATGAGCTAATTTATGATTGCTGTTGATTGTAGGTGAGTGTTTCTCTGCTCTCAAAGAAAATGTAACATTTTCTTGTTCTGTTCTTACTTGATTTTACTTTTCAGTGCTATTCCTCTGAGCTTTCTGTTTTCTGAAAACTGCTTCATTTCTTACATTATCCAGATTTTACCCAATGAAAGGCATTAAAGATTAGTTTCTGTGTAAGAATATCTACAGTACCTTTCACAAGACTGATTTTTATTGTTTTTAAACATAATCCATGGGGGCAAATTGAACCTTCTACCTGATCAGTTTGTTCATTTTTGTTTGTTTGTTTTTGTAGTGGTGGTGTTTTGTTTGATTTTGTTTTTTAATGAATTATTGATTATCCAGTGCTCTGTTTTGGTGTTTTCAGAAATCAGAACGTGTGCACATGGAAGGAGAGTAGCAGTGTCATACTCCTTTTTAATTTTTTTAAAGGATTAATTATTATAGCCCCTTGTCAAAACACATGTAACTGGGAATAAGAGAATACCAAGCGTGCTTATGAAATTTCCACAGGAATTGTTTGATAGTAACTATTACTCCAGTTTAACATCTCAGTCTCTTCCTCTGTGGGTTACAAATTGAAGACATACTCAGCATCCTTCAATTTACGCAGGACTGTATTTTCCTGGTTTAGCCCAAAGAGCACAGAGCAGACAAATTCCTGAGCACCACCATGGCTGTAAAACTGTAATCTTCTTTTCAGAATACATGGAAAGAAGCAGGTGCCAAGCAAGCTAGAAGAGAAGGGCCTTAGGTTTCCCTACCCTTGATAGTGAAGTAGCTGAACAGAGGAATTTTTCTTGCACTGCTCTCCCTGCCATGGCAGTCTGCTCTAAATGATTTTCTGTGCTCAGCAGCTGTTTGGCAGTGTTAACACCCCAGTGGGTTTCCTGTAGATATAAAAGCATATACTGGATAGGCGATACACCAGTTTGCCTGGCCTCTGCAAAATATTTTCCTCCTCCCTCCCTTTCATCCTTCCTTTCTCCCTGCTACGGTTTTGTCTATTTTTTTTTCCACCAGTCTGCAAGCAAATCAGTCCTCAGCAGAGGATTTCACAGGTTGGAGGGAGGCATATCCCCACTGCAGTTTACTATGGTTTACTAGGCAATCCCATAGAGAACAGAGGACCATGTATATGAAACAGGCTTTGGAGTAATGCTAAGTGTGAGTTCACGTTAGCAATTATGTGAGGAGTTACACAGATGAGATCATAGCAGATACGAAAGAGGATGTTCATGTAAGTGGCATATGACACTGCTGATTTCTACAAGATCGTTGTCCAAGAAATTTCTGAGAGTGACATCAACAGGCTCCTCAAACTAGCCTTTGAAAAAGGGGGGAAAGAAAATACTTCTTCCTTTCTGGAGTTTCCAAATCTCTCTGGGGAAATTTGAACCTCCTGGCTGTGAACTGGGTCTAGTAATACTGCCAAATTGTCTCTGCAGAATTACTTGAGTTGAGGAATAAAAAGATTTTTAAATAATTTATTTTTACAAGGAAATGAGCTCAAAAGGGGCAATAGCAGAAGATTCTTCCCTAAAGACATAATTACATGCAATTTCAATGCTGCCAAGTATTCAGAAATGATAGCAGCTGCTTCAGAAACACTTAAAATAACTAAAAGAAGATCTGTGCATCTTGATCTTTCAGTTCAAGAGAATGTGGTTGTATGTTGACAGTTCAACATGCAATATTATTAACCTTTTGAGAACAACATGCAGGGTGATATAATGAACCCCTTTCAAAAGCCTTTTACCTATACAGAGTCTGCAAACCACAGTTTACAAGGGAGCAGATACAGTGGGCCTGAGAAAAGATGTTCAGTGCTGCGTACATACCAGGGGTGAGAAGGATGTTCAAGAGCAACACGTAAGAAAATTTCACTTGTTTGTTCCTGTTCCAGTTGCCCGGCTGTTCCTGCATTGCTTCACATTTATGTCTGTCTCCACAAGCATGCTATTCGTGCAGCTCTGCAACTGTCCATCATCCCTCTTTCCAACACAGGCCCAACTACGTGTTCGCTCCAGTTGTCTCCCAAGGTGATCAGACTTCAGCTACAGAAAACAGACCCTGGGACATCTTTAAATGTGTCAAAGCAGTCATTTCCACTCTGTTTTTTGTAGAATGTTTCAAAAGAAGAGGTGGACCTTGACAGAGGTGATACTCAGCCTCACTGGGGAATGAGTTTACTTATGCTTAATGGTCAAAAGGAAAAATGTTAAGGGCCACAGGATGAGGAGCTGAGCTGCAGTGCTTGAAGGCTGAGAGAGGTCATTCAGGAAGCCTGGAAAAAACTTTTTTTTTTTCCCCATTTGATTTTTTTAAGTGGAAATACATACAGGAAGGAGTTTGTTTCAGCAACTCTGGAGCTTTCAGGCTGAAGAACTGGAAGAGAGACCAAAGTGAGCAGTTGGTTCATGGAAGGAAATTGTCCCCAGGTGCCGGAAAACATACTGAACCAAGACTGTGAAGCATCTAGGAGGAAATCTGCATCTAGTCTGTGGCTAAGCTTCCCCAGAGGAAGAGAAATTGAGGAAACAACATGGGGGGGTGAGTGATGGTGTAGCAGTCGGATCAGTAAAGGATCCGCAGCTCCCTGTCTGGCAAACACACGTTTCTGACTGTGGCCCCACACGGCTCTTTAAGGCCTCAGAGGACTGCTCGCCAGGTGCCGAACAATCCCACTGCAACCTTGTCGTTTTTAGTTGCAGAGTCACACGCCTTGACCTCAATTTGGTACCATGTTTCAGGATCACAAACTGCCGATTGTTAATAAGGAGAATAAGCTGTAAGGTTACCAGGACAGTCTTTGTTCCTAAGGATGTATGATTCCCCATAATGTGCAGCTGCTTACCACCGAGGGGCAGCTGTGTGTGCGGCTCCACTTCTCTCAGCTCCAGCTTCCCAGCTCCAGTGCACCCAGTTCCAGCGACTTTCTGTATGTGCTTCTTTGAGCTGTTTGCTGGATTAGGCCGAACCTATCTCAGTGAGGCGATCAATGTGCCTGTTCCCGTCCTGGTCTCCGTTCTGCTAGCCTGTTCCTTTTCATTCCTTCTTTCTGCTTCTTCATTGATGACATAACTTCATTATATCGTGTTGCCTTTTTTTAATCTTGAGGGCAGGCTCCCCTCTCATACCCTTCTCCCCACAGCAATTCTTTTCAAAAACGACTTTTCATTGATCAAACAACTTTGCATATAACAGCAACAGCAACACCCAGCAACTTCCATGCCTTAACAGCTGGAAAACAAGCAACCCTAGATGGCATGGCATCTCCTGAATCACCCTTCTTTGTTCCCTCCAAACTCTTTTACATTCCTGATGGCCTCACCGTTAAGAGTCTGATGTTATCATTGACCATGGGGCTTGCCGACCCCCATGGCCACACTCCCACATCTCCCGTTTCTTTATTAATATCAACCATTTTCTCAACACGAATTACCACTCCATATACAACATCTTGGATCCCTGGGAAAGAGATTGTCACTGGAGCCAGAAGAGTTCTCAGAACTAAAAAGCTCTGCAGCCAAGAGCTACTGCGTGCTGAAGAATCAGGGTACAAGTGACAACATTTTGAAGTCTCTGGCTGGAATCCAATGCAAGTTTTGTTTGCTTGTTTGTCTTCCTGCAGGAAATACCACATGGAGGTACTCTATATTCATTATAGAGTATTTTCATTGTATATATTGTATACATATATATCTATAATATATCACAGAATCACAGAATCACAGAATTTCTAGGTTGGAAGAGACCTCAAGATCATCGAGTCCAACCTCTGACCTAACGCTAACAGTCCCCACTAAACCATATCCCTAAGCTCTACATCTAAACGTCTTTTAAAGACTTCCAGGGATGGTGACTCCACCACTTCCCTGGGCAGCCCATTCCAATGTCTACCAACCCTTTCAGTAAAGAAATATATACCTTTATATATATGTAGTATACATATACCTTTCGGTATATATTATATAGATATCTATACTTATTATAGAGTACCTAGAGGTACTCTATATTCATTGACACAGACACACACACATTATAGAGTATATTCGTTGTATATATCATATACATATATATAATGTATACTATAGATATAGATATCTATAGTTTTATAGAGTACCTGGAGGTTGACACACACACAAACAGACACACACAGACACACATTTCCTCTCTCTCCCCCACACACACCCTTCTAGATTGTTCTTTTATTTGTTTCTTTTTATTGACACTGAGCATTTTGGTGGGGCGGGCCACCCTCCTGCCCCGCTCCCGGCGCCGAGGAGCAGCCGGTGCCTCGGGGCAGCCCCGGGGCTGTACATTTTATTCCCTGCCAGGCTGTATCCGTGTCTCCTGTCACACCCCCACAGCGGCTCCGCGCCGCCATCCTCTTCCCACTCCCACCCCTCTCCGCCCACAAGATGGCGGCGCCGCCCTCCCCGCCGCCATTCCCGCCGTGCCCCGCGCCCCGCATCCCCGCCCCGGCGGCCGGGGGCATCGCGGCGCTGCGGGCTGGCGGCGGGCATGGCGCTGGCGGCGCGGCGGAGGGGGACGTGGAGGACGGCGAGCTCTCCGACTCGGACTCCGACATGCCCGGGGCCGGCTCCCCGGGGGGACAGCAGCAAGGTGAGGGCGCGGCGGCTGCGGCCTTCCCGGCCCCGCCGCCTCCCGCTGTGGGTGCGGGCCGCGGCCGGGCTGTTGGGGGGGAGGGGTGGGGGTTTGGGAGCCCCCCTCAGGCTCCGGTGGCCCTCGGGGGTTGGGGGCTGTGAGGGGGCAGCCCCGCGGCTCTGGTGGGGAACAAAAGGCACAAACAGCCCCGGGCACGCGGGGGGCGGCGGGCGGCCTGCCCCGGCTGGAGGCCCGGCTGCGCCCCGGGGCGCTGGGGGAAGGGGGGGCAACGGGAGTGCGGCTGCAGTGCCCACGGTGTGTGCGGTAACGTAAAATACAGGTGTTTTGTAATGAAAAATAAGTCGGAGGCCTCTCTCCCTGCTTATAGGAAGAGAAGAGGTGTCACCCTAATTGTGGTGAGCGCAGTGAGGGATTTTAACCTCGGTGTAAAAGAAGCCGAAATGTAACTATCGCAGCACAGGGCACAGCTTTGTGATAAGGAACAGGCCGGGGGAGGCCTGGGATTAGCAATAAGGAAAGTGCTCATTGTATGGGCAGCGTGGCCAGAATTTCCCTCCAGGTGCGAATAGGCATTCTGGGTTATGTTGCCTGCGGTGTTTCCATGGATTAGGCAGGTTTGAATTGATGTTTTAAACTTACCTATCAGATAGGTGAGTTATTACTGTCTTATGAATATTGCAGCAATTGGACTTGTTTGTAGAAAATTCTAAACAAAACCTTTCGTTTTGTTGTTTTTTTTTTTGGTGGTTTTTTTGTTTGTTTGTTTCTTTAGTCTAAATTAGTAAGTAACTACGATGAGTCAGTAGCATGTTCTTGCTTTAAAAGAAGAAAAAAACGAAGCATGGGAGGCTCTTGCTGAATATGAGGGGGAACTTCTTTACTGTGCGGGTAACAGAGCTCTGAAACAGGCTGCCCAGAGAGGTTGTGGAGTCTGCTTCTTTGTAAACACTCAAAATTCTCTGGATGCCATCCTGTGCAATGTGCTCTAGGTGATCCTGCTCAGCAGGGGGTTGGACTAGGTGATCTTCCAAGGTCCTTTCCAACCTTGGCCATTCTGTGATTCTGTGAAAACAGAGTTCTTATCTAAGGTATTACCATCACTAACTGTTCATGTCCTGTCCTATGTGAATCAGAATCAGCACGCCCAGTTCACTTCTCAAAGTGTAAGCAGCATCCAAGTATTGTGGGTTTGTAGTTCTTTTTCTTCTTTTCCTTCTCACTAACGACCTGAGGAGCACTATTGTCATTACAGGTCACACTAGTTCAGATCTCATTCTGGCAGGTCAGACTACAGAGAAAACATTATTTTCTCTACTGTTACAAAACCTTTCACTAAGTTGATCTGGTGGTTTGCTTCCTTAAAACCTCTGTGCATGTGTCTCATCTGAATTGGGATTTGTAATAAATAGGTTTGCCAGTCTCTTAATAATCTAATTTAATGTGATTCAATAAAAGTTATGTTAAGCAGATCAGTGACTCTTGATTTGTTCGTTTGTGTTTTTTTTTTCCTGTAGCAACCATGCTGTAGAAACATTCAAAATAGAAGGAATTTCATAAGATGCTCGTGTCAACTGTAGTCCATAACATGTTTATAGAAGACTGCCCAAACAGCCATAAATCAAGATTAATAACTGCTAACTAATGAAATTTTTGGCATGACTTGATAGCTCTTTTTCTTTACAGAAGTAATTGGATTAACAGACATTTATTTCTTCATTCCAGAAATCTCATGATGGCAGTAATTCAGGCAGACCTTTCCAGAGCAGCATTTCATCCTGTGCACCAAGCGTTCCTTATCGAACAACCAAAAGTGTGGATTCAAGTGATGAAAGCTTTTCCGAATCTGATGATGACAGCTGTCTGTGGAAACGAAAGCGACAGAAATGTTTCAACCTTCCTCCTGCAAAGCCTGAGCCTTTTCCACTTAGCCAGAGCCACCAAAAACAAACTGCTGTAGGTGGTAAGAAGGTCAACAATATTTGGGGTGTTGTGCTTCAGGAGCAGAATCAGGATGCAGTGGCTACTGAACTTGGGATTCTAGGGATGGATGGCAGTATTGACAGAAGCAGGCAGTCTGAGACTTACAATTATTTATTGGCTAAAAAGCTGATGAAGGAAGCTCAGCAAAAGGAGGCAGAGACGTTAGATAAAGAACTGGATGAATACATGCATGACGACAAGAGAACAACTCCAGCAGAAGAGGAAAATGGACAAGGCTTTCTCAAACGGAAGCGGCCTGTAAAAGATAGACTGGGTGAAAGGCAAGAAATGAAATATAAAGGAAGGTATGAAATAACAGAAGAAGATTCAGAGGAAAAAGTGGCGGATGAAATAGCTTATCGGTAAGTTGGGTAATGATGCATCTGCCTCAAATATGGGTAAGATGTTGATAGAAACAAAGGCAAAAAAAAATAAAAAGCTTTCTAGTTGCTAAACCTGTAATACCAATCTACAAAAAGCATGAGTGCCTTGTGGCAATTTCCAAAGTCCTGAAATGAAAATACAGCATTATAATTGTTGTCTTTTAGAGGCATCCAGGAATGGTGTCCAAATTTTTGTTTCTTTTTTGAAAAAGGTAGGTAGAGGTTGACTGGAATGATGTGTTATTTGACAGCAGTGACAAGGACAAATACTGTTTCTCACTATTTAGATTTAACAGTGGCTTTTTGAGGAAATACCCTGTATTTGAAAATGCGAATTTAAAGTTAGACACCAACGTACACATGCTGTTTTCACCACGAAAATCTGAGTTACAAATGTTTGAAACTGTAGTTGACTTAGGTAGTGTAGTGCTTTGGAGCATGGCTTCTGAAACAAGTTTGCTTCATATGCATGGAACATCCCTGTCTGCAGAGACATTTCACTGCTGCTGTATCTCTGAGGGCTGTGCCAGGGCTAGACACCAGCACTGAAATCAAGCGTCTTGTCTCTTTCTGTGTTGTAAAACTGCTGCTGTTCTGTGCTAATCTATGCCAGCCATTGTTAGGGTTATCAGGTTTCAGCCACTCACATTATCAAATCCTTTTCACAGTCCTGCTCTTTACTGACTGCACACTGAGCTGAGAATCTGAGAATTTACCTGTTCAAAATCCTATTGTTTGGTTGTTGTTTTGTTTTTTTTTTTTTTCTTTTTTTAAGGGTTAGTTTTCAGGTAAGTTTGTTTCCCCTATCAGTTTGCTTCACAGGTTCCTTTAAGCTTGCACTGGCAGGGCTGACTGATGCAGGGGGATATGGGAGCACATGGCAGTAGTGATTTAAGATTGATTTAAGCTGCTGTAGTCTTTTCAGCAGTGCAAAGGAACAAAATTGATAACTAGGCAACAGGAGCTAAAAGACTTACTGATTTGTCTATTGACATCTCAGCTGGCTTTGTTGATCGTTGTTGATTTCTGACATATGATATTGGTATTGCCAGATGCTGAAATTTAGCATTTAGGCAGTGATTAATGCTGTTATCAGTTCTCACTATCTTTTCATTTGTGAATCTGAAAACCTAGAGCATGTCTCTTGTAATAAACTTTTCTTTATTCTGTTTAGCTTCGTGACAATAAGGGCAGAAGACCCCCTTTTTTTTTCTAATTGCTTATAGGAATAGCTGCACTGAACTGTCAGTAGAACTGTGCTTATAGAGATGACAGCACCATTATTTAAGCTGTGCTGTGCCATCTGTGTGTGGATTCATAACCTTGTGTTGTGCTGGCCCACACAGTGCATGGAAATAAAAGAGGTTTTCTGTCAGTCTTGTATCATTTTTGCCTCCTATCTTGCTCAGTCCCTGTTGGCTCTGTACAGCATTGAAGTGCCCAAAAGAGGGTTGTACTGGGGTAGAATGAGCACTAGGTGGAGATCTGACTTCGTCAGGCTGCTGCTGCTGCTACTAACAGAAACCTTTGCAAGGAGTCCTGGTTATCTTAAAGTTGTCTGCATCTTGAGAAACCTTTCCTCTCGTTCCAGTAATTCACAATTGTAGAACTCATATCCTGTAAAAGATAAGAAAGCATTCACTTTCTGATCGCCTTATCATTCCTTTGAATTCAGTTAAGCACAGTATAAAATTGTAGCTGCTTGGTGAACATTTGCATGGTTAGGACAATTGTCATTATGTGGGGAGATTCAACATGTAATGTATGTAGCTGTGTAGCAGTCATGTCACTTAAGAGTGCTGAGGGGGCTGGAGATGGTTTTCAAATAATTTTTTGTCATTGCTTTGATCTGTGGTCCTCAAAGGTTAAACCTACTGTTTGGGACTGTTGCATAATTAGCTTTGTCATTTAAAAAAAGAGAGTTCAGAGCATGAACTCTTGCTCTGAGACAGGTAGTTTTGGTTTGTGGGCTTAGGTTTTTTTCCAGTAGGAGTTACCAGTTTTGGCACCGTGACTTGATGCTGTGTAAAAACTTCTCTTTCATGCAGACTCACAATAGAAACTTTACTTAGGACATCGTTGTTGGAGGAAAAAAAAAAAGCAAATTTAACTCAGTAGTAATGATTTTTTTTTTCTGATGGCATTTGATAAATTAGGTAGATAGTTCGATAGGTTGGATCACAGGTGGTCAACATCCTGTTTTATTTTTTATTATGTGCGGTTTGTTGAGTTGCACATGCTAGAGGGTAACTTTTACATTTGCTGTTATCTCCTGTTACTTGTTGATTTAACTTTCTAACTAGCCTAAATGTTACATTTACTGTAATGTCCGTCTTCCTTGCTGACTTTGTACTCATAATTCTTTTAAAGTCACAGTCTGGTGTAAACACTTCTTTTTATATGTAATTTCAGATGTTTAAAAAGAGCTTTACAGTTTCTTATTATGACTTAACTTCGTACAATTCAATAGAGGGTAAGCAGTGCATTTTTATTGAAATAATTATTTAAAATGCGTACTTTAGAAGTTACTGGTACTTAGAAACTCAATATTATAAAATTAGATTTTAGAAGCCACAGAAAACACATCTAAATTTGTAGACACAGGTTTCAGCACAGTTCCACGTCCTGCCAGAATACGTTGGTGATTATGGAAGTTTTTGGCTGATTTTACTTGAAATTCTGCTGACTGTACACGTGTTTGTTTGTTTGTTTGTTTGTTTTCTCTCTTTAAAGACTTTGTGAGCCAAAGAAAGATTTAATTGCCCGAGTAGTGAAAATAATTGGAAAGCGAAAAGCCATTGAACTGCTCATGGAAACAGCCGAAGTGGAACAAAACGGTGGACTGTTCATAGTGGTAAGGAGGATGTGATATTGTGGTTTGGGGGTGGTGAGGATGCTTTTTACCTGCAGAACATTTAAGTAATACATGTGCTATTGCATAGCCTTCACATTTAACAGGTTCTCCCAGATGCCATGCGTTAACCTATTGCCTTCTTTCAGGAAGGAGGTCTTTCATTTGAGCCATGAAAGTGACTTAGCAGTAAATACTAACGTAACCATCAGCAGGGGTTAGTGAAAACAGTGAGATGAATGAAACTGGAAATTGCCCAACTTGTGTCCTCAGATCAGTATATCTTTTGCCAGCATTAACATGTGTAACCTGCCTTCTCTTGTGTTGTTTCCCTCACAAAATTAAGAGTAAGGAATTCTAAATCCTGAATAAAAGCTTCTATTTTTAGGCTGTTTCCCAGCACTAGCCTACTTAGGTTAATCAGCATGCAGTCAGAGGTCAAACGTACTGTGCTGAGCATATCTAATACCACATTTGAAAACGAACTTAAAAAGCGAATCTGTTAGCTTTATTATAGGACTTCTAGTTTCCTGTACCAGGAGAGCAGAAACAATCACTGATTCTATTACAAATTATAGTAAAAATCCTATATGTAATGAATAGGCTGTAAGTTTCTGCGCATGTTTTTGTTAAATAACGATCTATAAGGCAAGTAAAAACAAAAATTGAAGGAGGAGCAGGAAGAACCTTGTATATAGTTTATATTTTTTACATTCAATCATTGCCAGATCAGGTCCGTCTATTGTCATGAAGGATTTAAAGTGTTTAATAAGTATTTACAAAGGAGATGAAAGGTACCACTAGGAGTTGTGGTCAGGTTCTTTGGCTTGCAGATCTGAGTATACCATTCGAAAGGCAGATTTCGTATACTGTTTGTCTTGGTTGGGGATTTTGTGCAACTAGGTTGATAAAAGTATGTGGCATCTGCTGTTTCAAGAACAGATATAAAAATTGAGGCTCCTTGTTAAAACTTTTGGATCGTGTTTGTTATGCAGTAGAAAAGTGTCATTTACTACGGTATTAGTGCATTAAAGCAGCAGCTCAACTTTATATGATGTGAATTGTAGTTGAAAAATATTCTGATAATTAGTATTTATAATTCATAAAGATTTCAAAGTTGGGTCTGTTCATGCTTTGGTATTAGGCATCACGCCACTGTTGTTCCGCTGAAAACTACTGCATTGTGGGAGAAACTTACGCCTTAGGCAAAAATGCAAAATTCTGCGGATAAATTAAATTAGATTCTACATAACTTTATGAAATTAATGTTTGACTTTGTTACTATGCTTTTATGTTAGGACTATTTTGAATATCTAACCTAATACATGCATTATGCAGATAGCTGTGAGGGTAGTTAGAATACATTAGCATTTTATGTCTTCACTACCAAAATCAGAAGCAGAGTGTAGCTGAACAGTTTGGTTGTGATGTTCTAAAACGGATTTTTTTTTTTGAAGCCTCATGCATTACCTGTCAAATATAGCAACCTAGTAGTTGACCTTCGTATGATTAGAACAGCCACAGGTAAAAAAGAACCATGGTGATGGTTATATAACACATAGCACAGCAGAACTTAACCTTTGTCTCAGTAGAAAGCATCGTCTTTTGTGCTGTTTTATATTAAAAAGTTTCTTGTTAGGTTTGCTGTTATCACTAATCACTTTTTCCCTGTTAAGAATGGTACCAGGAGGAGAACACCAGGGGGTGTTTATTTAAACCTGCTGAAGAATACACCCAGTGTCAAAGAAGAACAAATCAAGGTAAAATTGTCAAGAGTACAAGTGGTTGTCCAAAGTAAACTGGGGAGGGACGGGTATTCTGCCATAGAAATATTACAGTTGAATCCTTCTCATAACTTTTAGCAAGTTTAATTCTATTATTTCAAAGGAAGTATATTCCAAAGAAGCCAACTTTTCATATTAAAATACAAGCAAATAACAATTGATGAAGTACATTCACACAATGCAAAAGGAACACCTTTTATGTATTGCTAGTCACAAAAACTTGTCAGGAATAATGAGATTGTAGAGTCTGAAGAGTTAAATGCTGTATTTTCTTTACTTTGTATATGCTTTGCAGTAATGTTACCTACAGTTACTTTAGTTATTACAATATTTTTCCGTTTGGACTAATGGTGTTCTCTTATAAAATACTTCTGTCCTGCACAGCTCCAACTGTAGCACCAGGCAGTATGGACTGTCACCACTGTGATCTGAACGTAGTTTTAACTGCTCTCTGGCCTCATGTGTGGTGATCACCACCTTAGTTTTGAGAGCTTGTAAATATTACTGCTTTTCATTTTACAGTATGAAATGGTCTTATATGGTATTTTTCATGCTATTAAAACAACTTGGTTCTTGAACAGTATTTGCCATTTATTTAAGTGTGTTTCAAGAATGACTCACTTACTTGCTTGTAGGTGGCTAGTGGCTAGAGCTCACTCTATGTATCATCCCAGTACCTTGTACTGGGAAAGAGATGAATTAATGTAAATGTGATCGTTTGTTATATGTTTAAAAAAAATCTTCCAAGCTTACAGTAGTCACAAGAAGATGTGACTTTAATCGCTTCACCTCATTTCCAAATTAAAAAAAAACTCGTAATAGAAACTTTCTGTCAGGATTTCTCTACAGGTCACCTTTAAAAAATTCTTTCAACTTGGCAAACATTTTTCTAGAGTGGTGTACATTGGAAGAGACCTCTGGAGGTAGATCCTCTGGCCTGCACAAAGCAGGGCCCTACTACTAGAGGTTGCCCAGGACCACATCCAGGCAGCTTCTGATTGTTTCAGAAATTCAGCCAACTGAAAATTATGCCAATATACGGTCATCCTTACAGTCAAAAAATATCTGCCAGTGTTCAGGAGGAACCTTCGGTGTTTCAGTTTGTGCCTGTTGCCTCTTGTCCTGGCACTGGGCACCACTGAAAAGAACCTCAGTTGATTTCTTCACGCTCTTCCTTCAGGTATTTGTATATATTAATGAGATATGAGCCCTCTGGAGCCTACTTTTCTCCAGGCTAACATCTTAGTGGCCGTCACTGGACTCTTTCCAATATGTTTGTATGGCTCCTGCAATCGGTAGCCCAGACCTGGACACAGCGCTCCAGGTGTGGCTTCTCCATCGCTGAGGAAAGAGGAAGGATCACGTCTC